CGCTGTTGGATGTGAAATTGATGATGCTTAAAACTCACAGCCTATTACAGACCAAAAAATTATCAACACACTGGTCTGAGCTGGGAAAAAAATCTAGCATTCACAACAATGATCGTTAAACGTCAATTTGAGGATTTTAATTGAGATAATTATATTTTCTCAAACCTGCATGGAACCGTCGTCATTTTTCATTAAGAAGAAATCACTAAGATGGATCGAAACCAATATTTACAAACACCCATCAACGGTGAAGCCAAGAAAGAAAAAACGACCGTCCTCAGTATATAGCCTACGAGCCCTAGCTAACCTGGACCCAAAACAGCACAGGAAACGAAAGGTCCGTTAAGCAAATTTGTGTGTTGTAGACTCAGGTTCAGGGGCACTTAGAGAGTACCATTGCCAGTGAATGAAATTGATTGGAAAGTTAGTTAGCAAGCAGTATCTACTACCTTTATTAGGAATTAGCCTTTTGTATTTCCTACTGGTTTAGGTTTTTGTGATAGAAGATGGACTATGACAAAAGTTGGTTACTTGCAGATCACTTCATTTAAGATTGTTCAGCTAATTGCTATGAGTATTTGGATGATTGATCTTCAGATACAACAGACATTAGCAAATTGATATTTTGTGTCACAACAGTATTCAGTCCACTTCATTACAACTGCTACTTATCACCATTGGGTGTACCAAATAGTGGTGGCCTAACTGTACAAGTAACGATTGAGTGAGAGAAATATACTTGCATACAAGATGATAGCATAGGACACAACATATACATATAAGCATTTTCCAACACTTACAAATAGAAAAATTCAGGCGAAGATTCACTTGAATTTACACAGATTAGTGTGATGACAGTCAGTGGCGTCCTGAGCTTCTTGTAAGCTCTTAAAGTAGATTTTGAGAAGGCATAAGACAAAATCGATTTGGAGTTTATGTATTCAGTCCTAAAAAGGAAAGGTTTCCCTAGGAAGTTTGTTCGGTGGACTAAGGCCCTGTTTGGTTCAGCTTTTATCGACGGATTCCGCTGCCGCGCAGCAGAATCTGAACCAAAGGGCGAACCCAGCAGAATGCGATTCCAGAAATCCGTTGCCAAAATCTGAACCAAAAGCGGAAGCAGCCCAGGACGTGCTTTCCAAAATCTGATTCCGCTGCGGGCCAAAATCTGAAAAAGCTGTATCAGCTGGTTTGCCAAATGACCTACATCTTTTTCACATCAAATTTTCCACAGCTGTTTTTTCACATCATTTTTCACAGCTGCTTTTAGAAACCCACAGCCGAACCAAACAGGGCCTAAAGCTGTTGTCTGCAATGGCAAGGTTGCTAATACTCTGAGTGACATGATAGGTTTATGGCTAATACTTTGTTACTAGGAAGGGGCTCGGGCAAGGAGACCCCTTCTCTCCTTTATACTTTTTATAATATTGCTGCTGATGTTCTGGCTACTCTGATTAAAAGAGCCCAAGAATAAGGTTTCATTAAAGGCTTAGTCCCTCGGCTGCACAATATGGTGGTTTAGCCATACAGAAGTATGCTGGCAACACCATTTTTTATGCTTGAGGATGATTTGGAGGGGGCTAGAAATCTTAAGATAATTCTGTGTGTTTTTTAGCATTTGATGACTGGACTTAAAATCAACTTCCTGAAAAGGTGAAGTTTTCTGTTTTGGGGAAGCACTGGCTAAGCAAGACGCTCAGATTTTTACTTGCTCCGTGGGAGATTTCCCTTTTTGGTTCGTAGGATAGGAATATTATGGGAATAGGAAAACCATAGGAAATGAAATGACATGTATCTCAATTCCAATTAGGAAAGAGATGACATTTGATTCATAGGATAGGAACTTTTCCATTGGGTCTAGGCTAATATTTTTTCCCCTTTGAAATGTTAAGGATTGGTTCCTATCCTACATAGGAATAGGAAATCCATTCTTACAAACCAAAGGGCTTCAAATTAATTTTTTCTACAAAATTCCTGTCCTCTAGAATTCCTTCAGAATTCCTGTAAACCAAAGGAGGTCTCAACGGTTTGCTCTTATATCACGGCAATGGTCCACAGTGATCACCAACAAGCAACAAGAAGCCCTTAAGTCCTGACCCGCAAAACAACACTGGGCCAGGAATCTGAAAATACAGTCACATAGCTGAGGGAAAGTACAAGCTTGGATGGTTGATCTTTTTAGATACACCCGACTTTAACAAATTGATCTTTTGTGTCACAATACTATTCTGTCCACTTCACTGAAACTGCTACCTGTCACCATGGGGTGCGCGAAGCTAGTGGTGGCTTAACTATAAGTTACGAGTGAGCTAAAAAGAAATATACTTGCATATAAGGTGCTAGCATAGGACAAGGCATATACATAATTGAATTTTTCAGCACTTAGACATTGAAACAAAGTTGAGAGAAGATTTTACTTGAATTTACACAGATTAGTGTGATGGGAGTCTATAGCATCCTGAGCTTCTTTCAAGCTCTTAAACGGGCCGCCTCGACGAGGATATGTGTGAAAGAGTCCGTCAGCATCAACCCTCAGAAAATATTTAATGAGCAATCTTGTTGGCATCAGTGAAGAAACAGGTGGAAAAGGCCTTGGCGGTGGTGGGCCTCAATACGCACTGCCTGCTCGGTGTCCTCGCAGCTGAAATAACAAAAGATGGATAAGACTGTGGAATAGTATAAATTATTATTATTTTGCAAAGATTGAAACCAAGGAGAAGATTTCTCCAAGAGATCTCATTGGAATTCTTATTAGTTGTATCTAACATACGGTGGAGGCGGTGGCTGATGGAGGAAGGGAGGGGCGGCCGCGGGAAAGGTCGTCGTGCCGGCGCCGCATTTCGGAGTCGATTTCTCTGCAGAGATGAGAGACGAGCCGTGGCTCCGATCCGCCGGTGACAAAATTCCCATCGTCGTCGGTGTAGACATTGATGCTTCGGCCGTCTGGAAGACGGTATATCAACGGGCGGCCGGGGCATCATATGGGCGGCATGGGGGCCGGCGGGGTGGTTCTAGGGTTTTGGAGATTTCGTGTCGGCGCGGCGAGGGGAAAAGAGAGAAGCTTTCTTCCTGGGCGGGGGTGGGGACTGGAGAGGGAGGCGAAAGGGGAACGACCGAACGAAATGGGGAGGGGAAGCTGACGGCGCGCTGCCATATGTTTTTTCTTTTCTTTTTGACCGAACTCATATCGAGGGTGCCCAGCGCGCAGGAACAAGCGCTCGCTCACGTGTCACGTCTCTCACGTGCTAAAAAAAAACCTAAAAAGCATAATCTTAAGCTAAAAATAATGCTCCCTCCGCTTTTATGTACTCCGCATATTAGATTTGTCTAAATTCACTATATATATTTTCAACGAGGTTGTAGAAAATATATTAACATATACACCACCAAATACATATATATATATATATATATATATATATATTAGTGGATTTATCATTGCATATATTTCCACATCGTATAAATTTATTATTATAAATATTCATATTTTTTTACAAATCTAGTCAAACTTTATAAAATTTGATTTTAGTCAAAACTAATATGCAAAGTAAATAAAAACGAAGGAAGGATGTAGTATAGTATACTAATATGAAGAACCTAGGGATGCCCGCTAACATGACCAAATGTTTCGATCCTTTGATCTCGACTTGTTATTACTTCTTCCTCTCGATCTATAAATCCATACCGTTTTTTGGCTCATCACCAAATTATATTATTTGTGCCCCACAAAAAAATTATATTATTTGTATTCTTGCAAAATAATTACTACTATATTATTTGTCATGCAATTTTCATTGATTTCTAAACTGATGTACTACTAAAGATATGCCCGAACACCCTCTATTTTTGTATGTGTAAAATTGTAGCACCCCTCGTTACTAAGATCTTATGTCTGCCACTGCGAAAAAAGTAGTTATATGTTTTATCCAAAACACGAAGGAGGCTAATGAACCTAGACAGAAAAAGCGAAATCACTAATTAAGGAGTACTCGTTGCAAAGAGCACTCCACTTTCCCAGGTCGCGACAAATGGCGCACATGCAGCGCACCACTTGTCGCAACCTGAAGTTTTCCCTTTTTACGTAGATCCGTTTATTCAAAATGTTTTATCTCTTAAACCATGCGTCCAAATCTCGAACCGTTTTCATCGTTGGATTCCTCGCGTCGAGATCTTCAAAACTAGATCTCATGTTGATAGAATTTGACGAACTTTTTTTTCACGAAAAAAACGGATGAAAAAAACCGGGCCGGAATCATGGTTTTTTCCCTTACCGAAAGAGCCACGTCCGTGCCTCTCGCGAAATCACAACTGTGCCTCTCGTGGAAGCAAAACCGTGACTCTCGTGGAAGGAAAAAAAACGCGTTTTTTTTCGTTTCCGAGAGGCACGGCCGTGACTCTCGTGAAAGCACAACCGTGTCTCTCGCGAAAGCAAAACCATGGCTCTCGCGAAAGAAAAAAACAAAAAACGCGTATTTTTTTCCTTTCCGAGAGGCATGGCCGTGACTTTCGCGAAAGCACAACCGTGCCTCTCGCGGAAGCAAAATCGTGACTCTCCCGAAATAAAAAAAAAAGAAAAACGCGTTTTGTTTTTCCCTTTTCGAGAGGCACGTCCGTGACTCTCGCGAAAGTACAACCGTGCCTCTCACGGAAGCAAAACCGTGACTCTCGCAAAAGAAAAAAAAACAGAAAACGTGGTTTTTTTCGTTTTCAAAAGGCACGGCCGTGACTCTTGCTAAAGCACAACCGTGCCTCTCGCGGAAGAAAAACCGTGACTTTCGCGAAAGGAAAAAAAAGCGTTTTTTAAGAAAGACCGGGGGAAAACCAAAATGTCAAAAAAATCCGGAAAAAAACCGTTTAAAAAGCCGAAAACACATGCAGGAAAATAAAAAAACAAAATTCGAAGGGAGCGTCCAAAGTGCGACACGTGACAAATGGCTGAGAGCGCGCCAAGTGGCGCTGATCGTTGCGAGGCTTCCGAAGAAGCGCTCGTTAACTAGTTGCTCCCCAGAAAAAGTAGACGAGAAACACGTAATTCTGAAGAAGAAAAAACATGGTAGGGGGAAAAGATATAGACTAGAGTAAACCGATGTTCTTTTATGAATAAATAAAAATTTGTCAAAGAAAATAAATACACTGGTCTCGATTGAGATATAAAAAAGAAACTCATGAGGAAAAAACTTTAGAAAAAAGTCACGAGGAAACAATGTTGGAGAGGGACGTACGGGGTACGCATCGACATGTTGCCTCTCGCGGCGGCACTTAGGATCGATCACCGGTCACGCACACAAAATTAGTCCCAACGTACGTATGTGCCACCTCCGTTTATATTATACTAGCAAAAGAGCCCATACATTGCAACGGGAGATTTTTTTCATAATCTTCAATGGCCATGGTCACGCTTTGTTGCATCATTAAGATACACTATCACTCTCAATTTCATGGAACCATGAAAAAATTTTAAAATCATGATCATTTTTTAAAACTCGTGCACATATTTGAAATCATGAACATTTTTAAAATTGTGAACACTTTTTCAAAGTTTTTAACATTTTCCAAAATCAAGAATATTTTTTGAATACTTGCAAACATTTTTTAAATTTGTGAACATTTTTTATTTTATGTGCAAATGGACGAACCAAATGATGGATGAAAATCTGGTAATAAGCAACATATAAAAAAGGAGTAAGAAACATCCGTGTCTTTAATAGAAAAATGAAAGTACTAATTAAGGGTGCAACATAAAAATAATTTTAAAAATAATTAACATGGAAGATAACATTATATTTAGAATGTACAAAATTTTCTGAGCGGTTTTCATATTTAGCATGCTAAATTTAAAGTTGGGGTTTGAAGGATATGAATATTAAAAAAAAATACTTGAATCTGCAAAAAAAAAAAGTTAAAAGAGAATATTTTAGCCGTATTGTACTGTGTAGACACACTGTTAAGAGACACTTGGCAAGGTAGCTCTATACTACGGCAATTGAAATTCGCAAAAAAAAAGGGTGCAAAAATGGAGATGACCAGGTTTCGAACCAAGGTCTCCTGGATTGTGGAGAAACGCCTAGGCCAGTAGGCTGGTTTGTTCGGTTGTGTTTTGTAAGGGCATTTTCTTAGATGAACCAAGCTCTATCAGTGGCGGGTTAAGAAAGGGAAAAACGAATCGTTTTTCTACTTACAGGTGGCATAGGTAAGTAATTTTTACCGACTTGAAGGATAATTTTAATGACGAACAACCAGAAATGGTAGCCGCTTTATTAATATATAAAGATAACAACAATTGACCATGAATCCGACTGGACTTCCATCAAAAAAAAATCTGACTGGACTTCGAAACGTTCTCTTTTTTTAGCATCAGTACAGACACAAACGCTCATATACACGTGCATACACTCACTCCTATGAACGCACACACGCACACCCTACCCCTATGAGCACCTCCAAAAGACTGAGCCGGCATATCATCTTGAGATTTACGAAGTCATCGTAGCGCCTCATCGTCGACGGGAACGTCTCCTCCCACTGAAAGTGCATCGCCAGAAATCCTGAAATAAATTTCAAAAATAATGCGAGCATCAGGATTTGAACCCTGATGGGTTGGGGATACTACTGTTCATCTAACCAACTCAACCACGTTCTTTCTGCTACACGCATATAGGTGTGGTGGGGAAAAAAAGCGGAGCGATTATCTTCTCTACTCCTAATGTCTGAGTATCTTCTCTTCTACTCCTAATCTTCTACTCCTAATGTCTGAGTATGTAAGTAGTTCGTTCGCTTCGTTTGTTCCCACCGTCCCATCGATCTCCCGATCCCTCCCCCCCACCGATTTTTTACTTCCCACCGAAAACCGAGACAGGTTTTATTTCATGCATCACAAGAACCAAGCCAAACGTTCCCTCCCCTTCCATATAAAACAACAAACCTTCCATCCTTTCCTTCAATTTACGACACCAATCAAATCAAAACATATGGAATCATATCGGAAAATTCCGTCACGAGAAGCTTCCATAAACAACAGTTTAATCTAATATTTTTGCTCTTTCCATATACAACAAAATCCTATCTTCCGAGCGGGGCTGGCAAGGCCTGATTCTCCACGCTTCCAGGTTTGCGTTTGGATCATGTGTATTTGAACAGTTTCTTCAAAGTTTGCCGTCAGATCAGGTGTGCGGTGCCGGCGCGGCTGCCAGCGACATGTTGTGACACAGGTTCTCCACGCTTAGTAACCTGTACACAGTTCACTTCTGGTTAAACTAATGCGGGAAGAGACTGGGTTAACTATACAACTGTCCGATTGGTGGTGTGACATAGCCCCAACTGTTCGTCCGATTAGTACATGGTCCTCACTGTTCTTGTGTGCTAGCGAGGCATATACCTGTTCAAAGTAAGTAGTCAACTGCTTTAAGTATACAACCAATGCATAGCAAGGCTTGACATATGTATGCATTCAACCCTTTCGAAAACTTACTGCTTCTCGAGAGGTATCCTAACCCCGTCTATAATTTTTGTGACGTTCTACCAAAGTAACCTGTACCAAGAACATGGCTCAGAGAGGATAATTTGCTA